TGTAAGGAGGAATAACATCTAAGGAAGACTTACCTCCCTAGATAAGATAGAATGAGCAATAATATCTAGGAAGACTTACTCTCAGGAAGATAGAAAGGAGGGATAACATCTAAGGAAGACGTTACCATCCTAGGTAGATGGAAGGAGCAATAGAAACTAGGAAAACTTACTTCTCAGGAAGATTAATGAAGGAGGGAAATAACATCAAGAAGACTTACCTCCCAGAAAGATAGAAAGGGAGGGATAACATATTGGATAGACTTGCCTCCTAGGAAATAGAAGGAGGTATAACATCTAGAAGACTTACCCTCTCAGGAAGATAGAAGGACGAAAAACATCTAGTAGAGAACTTAATACCTCCATAGAATATAGAAGGAGCAAAGTAAATATCTAGGAAGACTTACCTCTCAGGAGATAAGGGGAGATAACAATCTAGGTGAAGACTTACTTCCCAGGAAGATAGGAGAGTGACAGCTAAAAGAACCTTACCTCCCATTAAGGTAGCAAGGGGATTAACATCAAGGAAGACTACCTACTTAATCTTACGAAGACAATAAGACATGGAATACAACTAGGAGGATTGTATCCTCCTATAGAAATGAAGAATACACTTCTAGTAAGACTTAACCTCCTAGGAAGAATAGAAAGGAGGAATCATAGTAACATTAGAGCAATTAAGGGAGTGACGTCACGGCCTATGTCGCGTGGTACCGTACGTCGACCATCTCTGCGCATTGCGGTTCTGGTGGGATGAAACGATAGTGGCGCAGATGTTGTCCTATTGTCTGCGTCATTGTTAGTCAGTTACCATCAGAGTATAATGTTATAATTAATAAATATTTCAAACAGCTCCGTGAGAAAACCTTAGAGTTTTCCCTGAGGTACGGTTTTATTGTCTTCTCTGAGGATAGGTTCCCATTCCCAGCCATAGAGGTGGTACTTATCCCTATAGATATATTATATAGTATATATAAAATAAATATATATACTATTATATAATATATATTATAATATATATATATTAGAATATATATATATATAAAGTATATGTATATTATAAATTATAGATATAAATATTTAAATATATATATATATATATAAAATATATATATATATCTATATATATAGTATATAATATACTATAAGTATTACTATGATATTAATATATATATATATATATATATATAATAATATATATAATATATATATATATATATATATATATATATATGTCTATAAAAATGATAATCTATATATATATATAGTTAATATATATATATAAAGTAGTATATTATATATAATATAGTATAATATATATATAACATATAATATATATATAAAATATAGGTGAATATATATATAATTATTTATTTATTTAGTTATTAATTTATTATTATCACACTGGCCTATGTCCCACCAATGTCAGAGGAGGCCCTGGAAAAAGAAAAACATTCACATCCACCATTGTCACACCATCACTTGTCTACCAAGAAGGAGAGTGCTTTACACTACAGGGTTTAAAGCATGCAAACATTAACACCCCATGACTTCAAGTGCAATCGTCACTGTAACATTCCCATCTCCAGAAGCTCCAAGTCCGCGCCTGCCGGTTTCCCCGCTGAACGCCCTTCATAAATGGTTACTTTGCTCAAACTCCAACACCACGTTCCAAGTTATTAAAAAAAAACCATTTGTCTCCTTTCACTCCAAATTCAAACGACCTATCGCAAGCCATGCTGGAAGCTAATCCCCGCACCCAACAACCTCCTTTACACCTCCCTCCAACCTTTCTAGGCCCAGCCCTACCCCGCCTTCCTCTTCCACACAGACTGATACACTCTTGAAGACACTCTGTTTAGCTCATTCTCTCTACATGTCCGAACCACCGTTCACAACCCTTGCCTCAGCCCTTGGCCCAACCGTTGTTTGGTAATCCGCACGTCCTCCTAACCTTTACCAAACTAACAATTCTCTGCATATATATTCACAACACCACGTTGTCCTCTCAACATACATCTCTCCACTGCACTCCAGCCTTCCTCTCTGCAACAATTCATCACCAAGTCGTTCACCAACCCATCTATAAGAGACTTTGGTAAACTATACTTCTCATAGCATCCCCTCTTTGCCCTCCAGGACATAAGTTCTTTGTCTCCCACAGAACTCCTAAGTGCAACCCACTTCACGTGGTGGCCTTTTTCCCCCTCACTTCTCATTCCTATGATTCACGCTCATCTTTCATAGACCCCATCCACATGACAACTCCATTTCCCAAATATCTGAATAACATTCACCTGCTCCATACTCTCACCCTTCCAATCTGATATCTAAATCTTTTTCATCACCTAATATTTTTGTTATCCTCAGAACCTTACTGCTTTCCTTTATTCCTTTAATTTTTCTTGTTGTTTTGCAACCCTACCAAATTCATGAGGTTTCCACCAATACTCTGGACTTCTATTCATAATCATCCCCACGAGCACGTGTCATCATCAAAGAGCAACTGTGACTAACTCCCACACCTTTATGTTTGATTCCTATCTTTTACACTCCCCAGACCTCTTGCAAAGACCCTCACATTTACTCTCTCTTACTACCGGTCTACTATAAATATATTAAACACAAACCACGGTGACCCAACAGCCATCCTGTCTAAGTAGGTCTACTTTTACTGGGAAATATTTCCCTCTATTCCTACATACACTAACTTGAGCCTCACTACAACGAACCTCATAAAAACTCTTCACATGCTTTTCAAGCATAACCTACCTCCTACACCAAACACCTGCAACATCTGGACCACATTGACGCCCTATCCACCCTGTCATACCCTTTTCCAAATCCATAAATGAGCCACAAAGACCCTCTGTAGCCTATTCTAAAATACTGTTCACGTTATGAGTTTCATCACTGTAAACACCGTTGTCCACACACACCCCTACCGTTCTCTTCCTAAAGCCTCCTGGATCCATCTGCTGATCCAAGTCTAGTTCCGTCTTACTCTAATTTCTTTCAATAAATAACTCAACCATACACTTTATCAGGAGTATACTGCAACAAACGTACCCCCATAATTTTTGCACTCTTTTTTGTCCCTTTTCCCTTTAACAAAGGAACAATGCATGCTTCTCTGTACCACATCCCTAGGTACCCTTTACACTCTTCCATACTTTAATTAAATAATTGCACCAACCCCTCCAAAACTATATCCCCACCTGCTTTTAAACATTTCTATCTTTGTCCGGCATCAATCCCGGCTGCCAATACCCCCTTTCGCATTTAACCCCTACTGCCCACGAACTTTTCCCCAGCACTCACAACTGCCTTCCTCACACCTACAAAATGTTATTGCCCCCTTGCCGACACACGAAACACAGATTCCTATCTTCATCCACATTTAACAATTCCTCAAAATATTCCCGTTTCTTCCATCTTACCGCAATACCTCTAAACGTCCCATTTAGTAACTCTCCTCTCCATTTTTAACTTTACAAATCCATTTGATTCTCTCTTTACATCATCATTCCACCAACTCCGCGTGATCTCATCCCTCCTGCACTCCACTTTGCTGTAACTCACAAACTTCTGCTGAACACTCTATACACAACAATATTATAAACCTACCCTCCATGCCTCGTTCGACCGCTCATTGCCTATGCTCTCATTAGCCCATCTATCCTCCATAGGCGTTTTATTATCTTATCTTAGCCTCACTAACTTCCCACCATCTTTTAGTTTATAAACCTTCACGCCTACTCTCTTCCTGATGTTTACATCTCCTTTTATCCCATCCTACCTTTTAGTCTCATGTAGCTTACAACTAGAAAGTGATTGATATACTCTGGCCCCTCTATAAACATGTACATCCTGAAGTCTACCAACAGTCTTTTACTAACCAATACATAATCCAACAAACTACTGGTCATTTCGCCCGTACCAATCATATCATGTATACCATATATTATCCACTATTTCTTAAAATATGTCTTACCTAAACCTCCTTTCTATACAAAGTTTAATCAAGGTCTCCCATAATCATTTACACCATATACCCCAATACTTACCTTACCTACACCCTCTCTAAAAGTTTCTCCTATTGAGTGACTTTAGCATCAGTCCCCTACCACACTTACTTCTCTCACTTGGTTCAAAGGCTCCTATACATTCTACTAAACATCTCCCAAGTATCTCTTTCTCCTCCTCTTACCAATCCTCTCCTTCTCCATGTGTGCATACAACGCTTTTAATGACCCACTTCTCGCGCTCGCATCTCCCGGAACCATTACTTTAAATTCGCACATAATTCTTGATTTACCACATTTCACATTCTCTTTCCCATTCCATAACTGGATCGCTTCCATCATTACTGCAACCCCTTTCTTCTGTCTCTAGTACTCTATCAGATTACTACCAGATTTAATCCCATTTAATTCCCCCCAACAAAACTACCCCTATCCGCCCTACAGCTTTGTTTTGCTTAGGGCAAGCATCCAACTTCTTTATCTAATTCATAACATCAGCAATCATCTTTTTCTTGTCATCCGCGACTACATCCACGCACATTAAAGCATCCCAGATTTATAAATTTTTTCTTCATCTCTTTTTTAGTAAGTGATTACTGGGAGGCGGGGATTTACTAGCCCATTGCTCGCGTTATTATTAGTCGCCATCATACGAGCACGCATTGGCCTTAGGGAGGAAAGATTCCTTTTCCCACTTCCCTTCCATGAAAATAGAAGAAATAAAGAAGAAGCACGAGCTATTTATAAAAAGGAGAAAAACCTGATATATGTGATATATAATGCATGGCTGTCTGTGCAGGTGTGACCAAAGTTTAAGTTTGGAGTAGCAAGATATCCCTGTTATCTAGCGTGTTTATGAGACTGAAAAATTAAGAACAGCAATCCTACCATCATGCAAAACAGTAAAGGTTCTGTTTCACAGTCATCAGTCAGACGTGTAGTACTTCCCTGGGTGGAGTTGCTGTCTACCATACCTACTTGCCTTCACATAAGCAAAGTTGATATTTCCAATGTTTCTAGTTCCTCGGAAACCGCTAAATAAGCCCACCATGGGGCCCAAGAAAGCTTCTATAGCAGCAGCTTTGGTAAATGGATTGATAATATCGATTGAATTCAAGACAAAGTATACAAGAAAAATTCGAAAAGTGTTGGTGGTAGAGGGTGGTAGTGATTGTGAGTAGAAGGTGGTAGTGATGGTGGAAGATGTGGAGTGTGGTAGTGAGGGAGGTATAAGGGTGGTAGTGATGGTGGTAGAGGTGGTAGTGATGAGTGTATACGGTGGTAGTGATGGAGGTATATAGGGTGGTGAGAGACTGTGGTAGAAGTGGTGAGTGATGGTGTGTAGAAATGGTAGTGCATGGTAGGAATTGATGGTGGTAGTGATGGTGGTATAGGGTGGTAAGTAGATAGGAGGTAATGTGTTAGTGCTTGGTGGTAGAAGGGGTAGTGATGGTGAATAAGGGGTAGTTAGGTGTATAGGGTAGTGTAGTAGATGGTGGTAGAGGGGTGGAGTAGTGATGGTGGCGAGAAGGTGGTATGATAGGGGTATAGGGTGTAGTGATGGTGTCGTTAGATGGTGGTAGTGATGTGGAATAGGGTGGTAGTGATGGTGAGGTAGAAGTGGTAGTGATGGTGGTATAAAGGTGGTAGTGATGGTGGTAGAAGGTGGTATGATGGTGGTATAGGGTGGTAGTGATGGTGGGTGAAGGTGGGTAGTGATGGAGGTAGAACGGAGGGTAGTGATGGTGGTATAGGGTGTAGTGAATGGTGGTAGAGGGTGGTAGTGATTTGTAGGAGTTGGTAGTGATGTGGTATAGGGTGGTAGGATGGTGGAAGATGGTGGTAGTGGATGGTTTGTAGAAGGTTGTAGCGGTGATGGTGGGTAGAGGGTGGTAGTGATGGTGGTATATTGTAGGTAGTGAAGGTGTAGAGGTGGAATGATGGTGGTAGAGGGTGGTATGTGATGGTGGTAAAGGTGCAGTAGTGATGGTGGTAGAGGTGGTAGTGATGGTGGGGGAGGGTTGGTATTGATGGTGTGTATAGGGTGTAGTGATGGAGGTATAGGGTGTAGGTTGATGGTGGTAGAAAGTGGAAGTGATGGTTGGTATAGGGTGGTAGTGAGGTGAGAGGGTGTAGTGATTGGGTAGAAGGTGTAGTGATGGTGGTAATAGGGTTGGTAGTGATGGTGGTAAAGTGTAGTGCTGTGTGGTATAAGGTGTATGTGATGCAACTATAGGGTGGTAAGGTGATGGTGTAGAGGGTGGTAGTGATGGTTGGTAGTAAGGTGGTAGAGATGGTGTACAGTGAGTGGTAATTGAATGGTGGTCAGGAAGGGTGTGTAGTGATGGTGATCAAGGTTGAAGTGAAGGGTAAGAGTGTGTAAGTGATGGGTGTAGAAGAGTATTGATGTAGGCGATATGGAGGTATGATGGTGGTAGATAGTGGTAGTGATGGTGTATATGTGTGGTTGTAATGTTTGTAGAGGGTGGTATGATGGTGGGTAAAGGTGGTATGATGGTGGTACATGGTGGTAAGTGATGTGGTAGATGGGGGTAGGTAATGGTGGTAGATGGTGGTAGTGATGGTGCGTATAGGTGGAAGTGATTAGGTGGTAGAATGTGTAGTAATAGGAATGTAATAGGTGGTAGTGATGATTGTAGAGGGTGGAAGTGATGGGTGGTAGAAGGTGGTAGTGATGGTGGTATAGGGTGGTATGAGTGGTATGAGGGTGGTAGCGATGTGTGTTAGTAAGGTGTAGTGATGGCACTATAGGGTGGTAGTGATGGGGTAGAGGGAGTGGAAAGTGACGTGTGTGTTGCACCTCCTGAATGGGGTTACAATGATGTATCTATGTATAAAAAATGTATATTACCTTTTCGCGGTTAATTTTATATTGTCAATATATATGCGATATATAGCTAAATCTTAAATGTATGACATTATATTATTATTAGAAATTTGACTGTTATATTGTATATTTAGAACTTATGTTGTTAGGATTAAGGCATAAAATGTGCTCAAGTTTAGTCTTGATGTCAAACTCTGTAATTATCGCTTGTCGCTCGTGTTATACTGCCTGCTTCTGGAGCTGCGCGTTCCGACGAGGCTATAGCGTGTATCGAGGGTGGTGGTCCTCGACCTCGTCGGTGAAGTATTACCAGTCTGCTCTATGAACTCGCTTGTGGTGTGATAGATTGTCTGTTCTCATTATTCTTTGTTATTTCTGTAGTACTTTGTTCAACAGAACATTGTATAAGACTTTGGATTTTCGACGTTGTAACTGAGGTTGTGATGTCACATAGACACTCGAACATCTCAGGTGGTGTCCTTAGCTATACTTCTGAACCAAAATTTTGTACTGATTTTCTGTGAGTATTGGACACAGATGCGTTATTTCCTATCCGAACATAGATTTCAGAATATGGGAGTTTTTGTAAACTTTTGTGGAGGATCTGCTGATGTCCCCCCTACCTTTAGTGTCATTATATTATTTCCAGTTCCTGATTCTGTTGCGCAGTCGCTTGATATTGCTTGCTATGGGCTAAGTTCATTCTCTATGTTGTTCAAGTCAGACTGTTGTGGGTTGCCAGTCGGTCAAGAAAGTTAGTTTATTTGGGGACATTGTCAGTCAACTTTGTTTTAAGTCTTAAACGAGACTTGAGACAAAGCTAACTACGTAAAGAGCATTCTTACATCATACACACACATACAATGTACATAATTGTAATAACTATTCGAATGTTAATAGTACCTGACGGTACTTAAGAAATATAAATGTTGATAATGAGCTTTCAGGACAATAATATTAGAACTCGAGAGAATGAGATTTTATTTTGATTGCTGTAATTTCTAAATTTAATTTGATAATATACCTCTAGAGCTTAATAAATTTATTAAATATTTTAAATTCTCTAGTTAGTATGCCTACAGTTGTAATCCTAAAAGCACTCTATGAACCATATGAAATTTTAATGGATAATTGAGGGACAAGGATACTGACTACTTTGTTACGTAAAAAACTCCAGTACCAGGCTGAGATGCTAGAAGGGCAGTCCTTTCTAGTAATCACTGAGAGTATCTATAAGGCTTTTACAGAATATCGCGTTTTTATGTTAACAAATGGAGTGGCTGTCCGGGAGGCTCTTAGATCCAAAGTGTAGAGAAAGTGTTTTCAATTTGACATACTAGTAAATCTATATCAAGACACTTGAAGTACTTTTTCCCCGTAACCTAAGACTGTGAGTTTAGTCTTGTACAACATGACGCAGGCTGGATGTATGTACTACTTGACTGAGTCTCATGATACCAATGAGAAGGTAAATACTACTTATTAGCTCTAGCTTCATAAGACAACCAAGACACTAAAATTCCTATTATACGTATTATATTTTGTCTACCCCCAATAATCACTTCTCTCGTAGTACAATTATTTTTGTGAAGTAATGCCCAAGTGAAACAGTTGTAATGATATTACTGCTGACTTTGGTCCCGTAGTTAAGTACATTAAAACTTCAGACGTAGTTGGCAAGTATCCAAGTAAACACGGTGGTGACGTAAAACAGAATGACACACCAATACTAGTACAGTTGTATGCAACACCTGTATCAAATAATCCTTAGACCAGAACGTAGACACACTAGAGACGGCTGGACTAGGTGTCCGACCCTAAGGACAGTCCAGAAAGCGACATGTTTAATTCCCTACTCCTCTATTACCTACTGGTCCTATACTAAACAGGAAAAGCTGGTAGATGATCTATAACTTGTACAACAACTATAACACCAAGAGTAAATAGTATACAAGTCAAGTCTGAGGCAGCTACGGGAAAACTACGTGCCAAAGACACATACATCGCTCCCATCCTAGTTCCTCATACATATATCCTGACATAGACAGAGATGTAAGACCATAGCTTCGTACTTCCTTTTGCGCATGAGCAACCCAGAGCGCCATAATAATGTCGCGCCATCGAAGACACCCGCAAACTCCAAGCGGACATCAACCCAAATTCTTGAAATGGGCCACTCAAAACAAGTTATGATGTTCACTGAAGAGAAATTTCAACTACCAGCATATGGAAAACATAGGAAATTATAACTGTATCAAGTATTCAACAAATCTAACCAGACAATTAGAGCAACAAAGTATTACTTTGTGAAGGACCTGGGAGTGATAAGATCAGAGGATCTCACCTTCAAAGACCACAGCAATGTATCTTACCGCAACTACTGCTAGAAAATGATAGGATGTAATAACGAGGAACCTTCAACAACGAAAGGACGGAGCCAAGTCCGATGATGATTCTCTTTAAATAGATTGTTTCTCCTAGCCTGGAATACGCTGTAACACTAACGCCCCCTTCAAGGCAGGGCGAAATTGCTGACCTAGGAGTAGTGTACAAAGTACTTCCACGGCACACATAAGTACGAAAAATAAAATGCGACCTAAAAACTGGGAAGCGGTTTGGAATGTCCCTTGATTTGTAGATTTTTTAGTGCAGGAAACGAAAGAAAAGAGATAACCAAATAGTCACCCCGCCTTGGAGTCCTTGTTGGAGTTGAAGCACAGCCAGTGGCCCCTGTCCGGCTCACAAACTAGCACAGATGCCACAAACAAAATCACCCCAACAAACTTACAACAACAACCGGTCCATTATATTGCTAATAACAGGGCCTTATAGCCATCCACCCAACAAACAAAATACCATTCTTTAGTGGACTTCTAGGGGAGTGCAAATGCAAAGTTATGCAGCCTTGCACAGAGACCCACCAACAAAAGATTTCTTTGACAGTGAAATATGGATACCTTGGATACAGAGCCTTTTCAGATGCAACAGAAAGAACGAGGCAACAAGGGGTGGTTGGGCGCTGTATTCAAGGAGTCGCTCATGTTGCGCACAGAGATACTGAACACCATAAATGATTTAGCTAAACAAGTCCTACCTAACAATAATAACCAGGTATCAAAACATAGTCTTTAATACTTGTATCATAACCACCAGATTCAATTTCCCAACAGTTCAAGGAACAGCTATCAAAAATTGACTCCTTA